TACAGGCTTGGAAGGACCTCCCTTGGGCGGTCCTAGAGTTCTCCAGCCTGAGATTCTCTGGGAAAGTTTTCCACACGAGTGACCTCGCCCGCCTGGCTTCCTTCTTCCTCCTCTTCCCCAAGGACACTCCCACGCATGTCCTTCTCTCTGAACTCCCGTTTTTGTCTGTTCAAAATGTCCCGATTCGTTTAGGCACCTCCATATTCTCCCACATGAGCAATTACTCTGAGTCTGAGGCTGCCTGCTTTCCTGTGGAGGAAGATATGGACTTTGGTGAACCAGACAACCCCGCTGGTGTCGTCTTCACCAACATGATGACCAAGAAAGACATCCCACAGTATGCCTATGTCCTGAGCGAAGACAGCTTCTCCACCCTGGATCCTTTGGAAGGCAGCTACCTGATGGTAATTCTAGATAGACCGCAAAAAGTCACCCGGATTGTGGTAAACACGGGCTCTGAAATCAAAGGGATGTTCCGACTGGAGCGGGGACAAGTCCTCCTGGGCTACAACCGCCTGGAGAATGTGAAAGGCTGTGCTCACTACACCCTTTTGGGGCCACTGGTGGCAGGGAATTTGGACCAGAGGGTGTTTTATGAAGATTCTGAAGAGCAAATAAGTTGTATAAAACTGCTAGTGGTAGCACCTCAGGAATCTTGGCTCCTGATTAGAGGGATCAAAGTCTGGGCAGAGCCTGAGGAAGAGTAGAGTGAGTGGGAGCAATGATGATTCTGGTAGGATTGGGTTTGGAAATGGTTTGTGGATGGACAAATAAATCTAAAAACTGGTAAAGCACTGCTCCTACTGAGTTGGGTGTTCATGCATGATTGATTGTCCATGCAGTCAGTTCTCCAACCTCAGACTCTTTGGAGAATGAAAGGCCTTGTTTTTTTTTTAATAACCACACTAGAAGCCAGGTTGTTCACACCTCTAGTCACAGCAGTCTGGAGGCTGAGACAGGGGGATCAAAAGTTCAAAGCCAGCCTGGATTCCATAGTGAGTTCAAGGCCAGCCTGTACTAACAGGGAAACCCTGATTCTAAAAACAAAAACAAAACAAAACAAAGCTGAGCATGGTGGCATACTCCCGTTAATCCTAACACTCTGGGAAGCTGAGGCAAGTAGAGCACAAATTCAAGCCCTGCCTGGCAATTAGCATCTTAGCAAAATCCTGTCTCAAAAAAATAAAAAATTTTTCAAAAGGACCAAGGAATATAGCTCACTGTGAAGGTCTGGAGTTGAGTTCCCAAAAAAGGAAGAGAAAAAAATACTTCACTAGAAAGCCAGATGTGGTGTCACATGCCTGTAATCCCAGCTACTTGGGAGACCAAGGTATGATAATCACAAGTTCAAGCCCATCCAGGGAAACTTAGCAAGACCCTGCCAAACAAAACAAAACAAAACAAGAACCTGCACTAGAATAAAAGATGTAAAGGAGAAATATCCTGGGCAAGATAAGATATATGACACCTTAGTTACTTCTCTCGTCAGTAAGACACAGTACCCAACACCACAACTCTAAAGGAAAGGTTTATCTTGGCTCACAGTTTTTAAAGGTTTCATTGCATAGTTGGCTGGCTCCGAGGCAGGGCGGCATGGCAGAGGAGAAACAGCTCATGGCATGGATGCAGGAAGCAGAGATAAGGGACGACGGAGGAAGATACACTTTTCTAGGCCACATGCCCTGTAACCCACCAGGCTTCACCTCCCACTATTACATTTAGCTATAAACTCATCAGTGGAGTTATGATCACCCTTTTTATCTATTATTTGGGTGTATACTTAATGTTGGGTGCTGTTAAAGACCATATGAATAAGCAGAACCAAACATGGATGACACTGGCAGAAGACTTAAAAGTAAAAATCTGTAATTGAAATGTGACATAGATGTTAACTCTAAATTGATGAACAACTGGGCATGGTGGCACACACCTGTAATCCCAGCACTTGAGAAGCTGAGGTAGAAGGATCGCTATGAATCCAAGGCCAACCTGGGCTACACAGTGAGGTCAAGGCCAGGCTGAAGTACATGGCAAAACCTTGTCTCAAAAAACCAAAATAAATAAAAAATGATGACTTTACTTATCCACTGATAACTATTATGCCCCTACGATCCAGTCACCTCTGAAAAACCCCATCTGTTGGTTTATGAGGCTTCAGGGGGACATCTAGATGCAAACCCTAATTCTGAGTTTTCTAGACTACTTAAGATAAATGATGCCACCTAAAGAGGGGCAGAGACAAGCCAGTATCTTTCAGATTTTCAAGCATAGAAGTCACCAGGAGCTGCCTTGGGTTTTGTCTACACACAGGTATTTTATCCTGGGACCTTTCCTGATGGAGTTATTCCTCCATCTAGATTCGGTCACAGTCTTTTTTTTTTCCTTTTCTTTTCTTTTTTGTTTTTTTTTTTTGTTTTCATCTTTTTGAGACAGGGTCTCGCTAGGCAGTTCACAGCTGCAGTCTTGACAGAACTATGGACATGGAAAGAGAACTGACTTTGGCTCACATCTATAGACCCAAACTTCCAGTGTGTTAAACTTGAAACCTTGTTGAAGCAGAGTATGCTGGGATTCAGGAATGGCTATTTCAACTACATATGAAAATTCTAGAATTGTGTGCAAATTTTGGTACTGGTTTATCTGTGCCTTTTTCCTAAGGAAAGAATATTCTACTTTCATCAGAGCACTGATACACTCCGTATGTTCCCTAAAAAGGTAAGAATAACTAAGCCAACCACTGTAATATTCTTTTTTTCCCACTATAATATTCTTAAGGGAGCAAGCAATATGTTTCCTAGCGTGTAAATCTATCTATTTCCATTGCAAAATGAGAAATTAGATCACATACCTCTTTATTTCCTTTTATCTATTCAGCAAATGTTAGGGTACATACTTAATGTTGGATACAGTTAAAGACAATATTTATAAAGTGAGCCAAACATGGATGACATTGGCAAGAGACTTAACAGTAAAAATCAGTAACCGAAATATAATGTAGATGTTAATCCTAAATTAATGAATAAAATCTATGACCTTCAATAAGCACACAAATAAGGCTTTGTACTGCATTGTTTTTGACATTTTTCCTAAGTCAAACTTATGGCAAACAATATTCTTATACAACCCATTGCTTTTCATTACAATATTTATTCTTATTTCATTAGAAACAGAGTAATGTCAATTCCAGGCAATCTTTCTGCCTCAGCCTCCTGAACTCTGGGATTATAAGCATGTGCCATCATGCCCAGCTAGAAAATCAAATTTAAGAACAAAATGCCCATATCCATTGCAATTCAGGTTGACCAATAAAATGAAAGGAAAAGCCTCTGGATAGGGTTTCCAGGAAAAAAAAATTCAAAGGGGCCTAGTCAGCTAGCAGAAAACTTTTTTGCACTGGTCTGATCATTTTTACCTTGTTATTTCACTGTTGATTTTAGTAAACAATGCTTGTGATATTTTGTTCAGCTTTTCTAGTCATCTTCATTGAAAGGGTTGGTTTGAACCACCTAGTCACACAAAAAGCTTTTATGTGTGACTTGAAAAGAGCTTGAAAACACATCGCTAAATGAAAAAAATCAAGCTTCAATGTGATACCTTCAAGCTTATTCATTCATATTCATTCACATATCTTTATCCAGTGTAATTACAAGAAGCTATAATGGTTTCTGTCACTGATGGCTTATTTCACTATGAACCTTGTAAAAACTAAGGGGCTGTGGTATAGCTAAGTAGTAGGTCACTTGCCTAGCATGTGGCCCTGGGTTTGATCCCAAGTACCACAAAAAATAAATAAAAATGAAACTGATCTCCAGTACTCGGGTGGGGGCCATTATAGTATCAAAGGACAACACACCTATCACAGAGTGCTGGAAATAAATGCACACCATGAAATGGGACAGAAAAACTTTTACTAGTAAAGAGGGAAAAAAATCCTCCCTGTAATTCTTAACATACTCTGTCCATTCATAACCATGCAAACTGACTCTACCATGGGATCTCAAAGATATCCAGTGATGTTTATACTCTAAACTGGTCACAGAAGCTCCAGTGGCACAATCAGTGCATGGTATTTATATAAACTGGTCACAGCTTCAGCTGTTAATACCCCCCAAGATGCCTGGAAAAAGTAAATGCAAATCTTTTGGAAGGACTCAGAAAATCTCTAAAAAAATCAGAAAACCCACAGGGAAACATAGTCCTATTCTGGGAATCAGAAAAAGCAAAACAAATAATAATAAATAAAAAAAAAACCCATCAGAGTTGTAAAGACTTCAAATACTAAAATGACCACAGAATAAAAAGTAACTATTAATATGTTTTCAAAAATAAAAGTCTATAATCCCAGCACTCAGGAGGCTGAGTCAAGAGGATCACCACAAGTTCAAGGCCAGCCTGAACTACACTGTGAATTCAAGCCCAGCCTGAACTAATAAAAGACCCTGTCTCAAAAAAAAGAAAAAATCTGCTTTGAAAATATGAGTAAAAGTAAGTAACAAAAAAGACTAAGAATATTTTTAAATAACCAAATAGAACTTCTAAAGGGGAGAAAAGGTAATAATTGAAATGCACAGGCTGGTTTTGAACTCATGGCGATCCTCCTGTCTCAGCCTCCTGAGTGCTGGGATTACAGATAGGTGCTATCACGTGCAACGTGCATTTATACTTCTTCATCTCTGAAGTATCTATTCATTTCAGATCCCCAGTTGTGACTGGGTCTTTAAACTTGGGGGGTATAATTTTTTTTTAGTTCTCTATATATTCTAGATATTAGTTCTCTGTCTGAGGAGTAGCTGGAAAATTTTTTTCTGATTTCATAGATTGTCTCTTCACTCTGTTGGTGGTTTCCTTTGCTGTGTAGAAGCTTTTTACTTTAACATGATTCCACTTGTTGCTTCTCAGTGTTATTTTTTCTGTAACCAGGGTTCTGGTCAGAAAGTCTTTGCCT